TTTGCCACCAAGAAGCATTAATAGGTGCTATGTGGTGTGATGTTCTAAAGCATATATGAATAGCCCTATCCAGGTTGATTGCCATATGGAGCCAGCTGACCGGTTACATGGGAATAGTAAAAGATATAGATATAGATATACAGTTGTGTACTCTCTGGCTCTACACATACATTCACACACAGCCCTTCCATACACATCAACATAAACACACCAAACCTAGATTTATACTACCGTAAAATACACTAATATATATATATATATACACACACACACTGCACTTAATTACCACATTTCACGCACCCACCGCACACTAATAAGTCATGCAAACGTAACCCTTTCATTAACGCATCTAGCTTGTTAAACAAAGGTGCTTTTCAATATTCTAATCTTTCATTTACATCTGTAGAGGTTTGAAAAGCATTTAATGCAATTTTGAGATGAACACATCCACAAAGAAAAACAGAAAACACTGCCTAATATTTGAAGAAGATGTCTAACAGCTAAACTCACTACAGCTAATTTAGATGAGAATATCAGTAAGAAACCTTTTAGACTGGCTCATGTGAGAAGAAAAAAAAAAAAAATCTGTTAAAATGACACATTTTCTGCCATCCCTTTGAGAAAACCACTGACACTACAAATTGCCATTCTGAGGAAGTAAGTATCTAGCCAAGTGCAATTGCAACATATAGCTAATGGCAGCTACAATGCAGACTATATGGGGAGGGGGGGGCGATACAAATACATATTACTTTATATAACTAATCATTCCCCAAATGAAGAAAAAAAAAAAAAAAAAAAATTATATATATATATATTTATATTTATAGTATCGTAATCCACTGTTTGTTTTTTTTAAAATTTAATTTAATATTAAAAATGCCACTCCATATCCATAAGGCACTTTAGCTTGCTGAACTGTTTATGGGTGAGAAGAATCCTATTTAAAGTCATTTTATAAGTGACAATTTCTATTTGAAATCAGCCTACAGGGGTGAAAAGTGCAGCAGAGACAAGTGCAAAAAAATAAAAAATAAAATAAAATAAAAACTACAAAAAAAATTAAAAATCTTCTCTGCGACACTTCCAAGTTTAGAGCCATGACACTGCTCAATAATGCTTCAGGTGCAAGTGCTAACATACTGGTGCAGTCCTTTTAAAAAAAAAAAAAAACACAAAAAAAAAAACACACACACACTTTATTAGTGATTGAGTTGTGCATAAATCTTTGGTGACTGTTCCACTTAAAACTCTCTGGGCACGATAACAACTCTATCTAAATTAAATGGACACTACAGTCACCAGAACAACTTCAGCTTATTGTATTTGTTCTGTTAAGTATAATCATTCCCTTCAGGCTTTCTGCAGTAAACACTGTCTTTTCAGGAAAAAAAATGCAGTATTTACATTACAGCTCCAGTGGCCACTCCTCAGATGGCTACTAGAGGTACTTCCTGGTGCAGTGCTGCAGTGTCTCCACCCTCTGTATGGAGACACTGAATTTTCCTCATAGAGATGCATTGATTCAAATGCATCTCTCTGAGGAGATGCGGATTGGCTGGGGCTGTGTTTGGCTTGTGTTGACTCTGCCACTGATCTACCTCCTTGACAGTATCAGCCAATCATATGGGAAAGTATTGCGATAGTCTTTTAATCAACACTTCTGGTTAGGTCAGCCAAGAAGGCAGACCAGGGAGAGAGCCAGCAGCAGCAGACTGGTAGTCACATCACTTGCCAACAGGTTATGTTCTTACCTGGGGTCCACTGGTCCCAGCTATTATGCAGCAGTGACAACCCAAGAGCTCTCAGGCTAAGCCCTAGGGAGGGGGAGGGGCACCAGGGTATTCCTGGCACCTTAACTACTACCGTGCACTCTGGTGCTTGGAGTGGTCCTTTATTACACATTATTAGTGCAGATGAGAAGTGGGCGGTCTGCATTCTTGAGATCAAACTGCTACTTAAAAGGACCACTATAGGCACCCAGACCACATCAGCTCAATGAAGTGGTCTGGGTGCCAGATCCCTCTCTTTTTAACCCACCAGCTAAAAACATAGCAGTTTCAGAGAAACTACTATGTTTACACTGAGGGCATCCAGCCTCTAGTGGCTGTTTCACTGACAGCCACTAGAGGCCGCTTCCGCTATTCTCACTGTAAGAATCTTAGTGAGAAGAAGCTGACGTCCATAGGAAAGCATTGATTAATGCTTTCCTATGGGCAGTTTGAATGCGCGCGCGGCTCTTGCTGCGCATGTGCATTCGGCGCTGACGTCGGCAGGAGGAGAGTTCCTCAGCGCTGAGGGAACCCGGCGCTGGAGAAAGGTAAGTGGCTGAAGGTGTTTTAACCCTTTCAGCCCAGCGGGAGGGGGGCCATGAGGGTGGGGGGGACCTAATTACTACATAGTGCCATGAAAACGAGTTTGTTTTCCTGGCACTATATTGGTCCTTTAATGTTTTTACATTATAAAAGTGCATGGCACAAAGGCAATCTATGCATAATAACAACTGCGCCAACTAAGGGCTTAGCATCATGTACAATGCTCAAGTGCAGTTTATAATATTAAGCGATGAAAAAAGGGTGAAGGGGTAAGTGGTCCACAAAATTTGAGAGTTAAATCTGCTTTACATGTAGTAATTGCCTTGGTTTAGCTTTACATCACTGTGCACGTACATGACCTATCTGCAGAATAATGCATAAAACAGGAAATAAAGTCTGCATATTCTGCAATAGTGTCACAGGAAGCTGTAGAACAGATTACACTTACACAAGTTAGTTGGATAATAAACTGCCTTGAAATGATTAGGACTGAATAGTGACAAAGATTTCATGCAAAATTACATGGTTCAATAAGTTTTAATAACATATATCTTAATCTCCTTAGTAAAAGAAGGAGTCCAGTTATTACAGTTATTAAAGGGCTATTCTCAGAGCACAGATGGAAAATGTAAAAATTAAGTCAGATAATTAAATTGACAAGTTTAAAAAGTACAGAAAAGCAAAAGTATACACTGTGCATTTATTATCAAACTGTAATACGTGAAGCCAAGGTATTTTTAGCAAGTCGTTTTATTCTTGTTTTTTTTCCACTGAAAACTTTATGACTGGGTCTGCCACTTGCTACACTACTTTCAACACAAAGCTACATACATACACACAAAGTTTGGCTGTGCAACAGTATATGGAACTTGAACTACATTCCAATTGTAAAAAATGTGAATAATTAAAGAGACACTTTAGGCACCCAGACCAGTCCAGTTCATTGAAGTGGTCTGGCTGCAGTGTCCCAAGTCCCTTAACCCTGCAAAGGTAATTATTGCAATGTATAACAAACTGCAATAATTACCTTTGAGGGTTAACTCCAACTCCATGGGCTGTCTACCAGCAGCAACTAGAGGTACTTCTGGATCGTTAGGAGACAATTGGTCGACTGATGTCCTCACGCTATGCACGACTAAATCAAGCGTCATGTAAAAGCCCATTGGAAAGCATTATACATGCGTCCCTATGGAGGAAATAATGTAAGCGTGGCCGTTTCCACGCATGCACATTAGGTCTCCCCAGCCGGCTGAAGTCGGCGAGGGTGGAGCAGAGACAGAGCCCGAAACAGCGCAGAGGTACATTGGCACTGGAAGCAAGTAAGTGACAGAAGGGGTTTTTAACCACGACCAAGGGGGCACTATAAGTAGCTATAGTGCCAGGAAAACAACTTTGTTAACCTGGCACTATGGTTTCTCTTTAACCCCTTATATATACACACATACACAGTCCAAGTGTATTTTAATATTAACCCCTTATGGGCGTTCTATGCCGTCCTTGGGGACCCGGTCCTAAATGCCGATGGGCGACATAGGACGGCGAAGACGTCCTATGTACTTACCTGGTCACCGGCTATTGGGGTGTGGAGACTCACCCGGCATCCCAGGGAGTCCCCCTGATTCCGATCCGGCCATCCTGGGCCATGTGATCGCGAGGTCCATAGCAATGCCAGCAGGGGGAGTGCCAGTAATGACAGGCACTCCCCCTGCTGCCTGTAACTGGTAAAAAAAAAAAAAAAAAATTAAAAAAAACAGTTTAAAATAAAATATATATACACACACACACACACACACACACACATATATATATATGGATCTTGAGGAAGACCTGAAGAGGTCGAAACGTCGATCAGATGTATGTTACCTGTTATTAAATAATAGAGTTTTTTTTCTACAAAGACCTGAGAGTGCATCTCTTTCCTTTTTGCTTTACATATCCAGCGTGGGATTGCACCAAGGCAGTCTTTTACCGATTCATTGAAAGGGTGAGTGCCACTATACTTGTATACATACACACACAGTATAGGTGTATTTTAATATTAACATATAATTATATATTAATATCAAAATACACGTACAATGATATTGAATAAATATATATATTTATATTTATATATTCCAAGTAGAGAGCACTCTGGAGTCTTCGTTTTATATCAAAATAAATATTGCTTTATTGTGCAGAATACAAAAATGTCGACGTTTCAGTCACAATAGACTTTTCTCAAGACCTTGAGAAAAGTCTATTGTGACTGAAACGTCGACATTTTTGTATTTTGCACAATAAAGCAATATTTATTTTGATATAAAACGAAGACTCCAGAGTGCTCTCTACTTGGATGCTATATATTGGTCAGAGATTACTTGCACCGGAGCATGGAAAAGACCGGGAACATTGAGTGCTGGGACCTGGGAAAATTATATATATATATATATATATATATATATATATATATATATATATATATATATATATATATATATATATATATATATATATATATATATATATAATAATTCTATGTATATATTTATGTAATAATTTTACATAATTAGGTCATTTTATTAATTACAATTTGTGGGACCTGCCTGACAACCCAGGCCAAAAGTCCAGGGAATTTAATTTGCTAGCACTATATTTAACCCTGTAACTTTCCAAGACACCATAAAACCTGTACATGGGGGGTACTGTTTTACTTGGAAGACTTTGCTGAACACAAATATTAGTGTTTCAAAACAGTAAATGTATTACAACGATGATATCGTCAGTGAAAGTGACATTTTTTGCATTTTTACACACAAACGGCACTTACACTGACGATATTATTGCTGTGATACTTTTTACTGTTTTGAAACACAAAGATTTGTGTTCAGCAAAGTCTCCCGGGTATAACATTACCCCTCATGTACAGGTTTTATGGGGTTTTCAAAAGTTACAGAGTCAAATATAAGGCTTGCATTTCAGTTTTTTCACATTGAAATTTGCCAGATTGGCCTTTGAGACTGTATGGTAGCCCAGGAATGAAAATTACCCCCATGATGGCATACCATTTTTAAAAGTAGGCAACCCAAGGTGTTGCAAATGGGGTATGTCCAGTCTTTTTTAATAGCCACTTGGTCACAAACACTGGACAAAATTGGCGTTCAAATTAGTTTTTTGCATTTTTCACACACAAACAAATATTAACGCTAACTTTGGCTAGTGTTTGTGACAAAGTGGCTACTAAAAAATTCCTGGGCTACCATATGGTCTCAAAGACAATGTAACCAATCTGGCAAATTTCAATGTGAAAAAAATTGAAACACAAGCCTTAGATTTGACTCTAACTATTGAAAACACCATAAAACCTGTACATAGGGGGTACCGTTTTACACGTGAGACATCGCTGAATACAAATATGTGTATTTTATTGCAGTAAAAGCAAATAGTATTATGAAATTCACAGTTAAAGGACCACTATAGGCACCCAGACCACTTCAGCTCAATGAAGTGGTCTGGGTGCCAGGTCCATCTAGGATTAACCCTGCCTGTTGTAAACATAGCAGTTTCAGAGACACTGCTTTGTTTACATTAGGGTTAATCCAGCCTCTAGTGGCTGTCTCATTGACAGCCGCTAGAGGCGCTTCTCACTGTGATTTTCACAGTGAGAAGCCGCCAGCGTCCATAGGAAAGCAAATATTTATTTTTTTAAAATGAAAATAAATGATATATTATATAAAAATAAATTATATATACACATATGTAATTTCATTTTAACTGTAATATATATCCATCTATATATAAAATACAAATAACTGCAAATATATATATTAACTTTAATGATTACATAAGTATACGCGTAGAATTTAAATACAGATATATGTATACATATATTAAAATTCTATATTTAAAGTAATCTTTTAGCATAATTATGTGATTTTATTAATCAAAATTTGATTGACATGCCTGACAACCCAGGCAGAAAGTGCAGAGAATGTTATTAGCAAGCACTATATTTAACCCTGTAACTTTCCAAGACACCATAAAACCTGTACATGGGGGGTACTGTTTTACTCAGGAGACTTCGCTGAACACAAATATTAGTGTTTCAAAGTGGTAAATTGTATTAAAACGATAATATTTTTAGTAAAAGAGTTCATGCGTGAAAAATGCAAAAAACATCACAGCACTTTTACTGACAAAATTATTGTAATAGGTTTTACTGTTTTGAAACACTAATGTTTGTGTTCAGTGAAGTCTCCCAAGTATCACAGTACCCCCCATGTACAGGTTTTATGGTGTTTTGGACAGTTAGAGAGTCAAATATAAGGCTTGCATTTCATTTTTTTCACATTGAAATTTGCCAGTTTGGTAATGTTGCCTTTGAGACCGTATGGTAACCCAGGAATTAGAATTATCCCCATGATGGCATACCATTTGCAAAAGTAGGGAACCCAAGGTATTGCAAGTGGGGTATATCCAGTCCTTTTTAGTAGCCACTTAGTCACAAACACTGGCCAAATATTTTTTTGCTTTTTTTTTTTGAGTGAAAAAAAAGCAAAAGAATAATATTTAGCCAGTGTTTGTGACTAAGTGGCTACTAAAAAAAAGACTGGACATACCCCACTTGCAATACCTTGGGTTTTCGATTTTACAAATGGTATGCCAACATGGGGGTAATTCTCATTCCTGGGCTACCACACGGTCTCAAAGGTAACATTACTAATCTGGAAAATTTCAATGTGAAAAAAAACAGAAAAATGGAATGTGCTATATTTGACCCTGTAACTTTCCAAAACACTGTAAAACCTGTTATAGGGGGGTACTGTTGTACTCGTGAGACTTTGCTGAATACAAATATGTGCAATTTATTGCAGTATAAGCTAACAGTTATGTTTCATATATGAATAGTTCATGAGAAATTAAAGGGGCACTATAGGGTCAGGAACACAAACATGTATTCCTGACCCTATAGGAGTTAAAACCACCCTCTAGCCACCCTGTTTCCCTAAAATAGTAAAATCTTACATGTGTATTCAAGTCAGCTGCATGCAATGTCCATGTTTCCTATAGACCGGCCCACTGCCTGCTGACATCAGCAGAAGTGGTAGCCTGATCCAGACACAATGCTTCCCTATAGGATTGGCTGAGACGGACAAAGAGGCAGATCAGGGGCAGAGCCAGCACAATTAAAAGACAGCCCTGGCCAACCAGCATCTCCTCATAGAGATGAATTGAATCAATGAATCTCTATGAGGAAAGTTCAGTGTCTGCATGCAGAGGGAGGAGATACTGAATGTTTGGATGCATTTTAGGCAGCCATGACCCAAGAAGGATCTCTAACAGCTATCTGAAGAGTGGCCAGTAAAGTTATCACTAGGCTGTAATGTAAACACTGCATTTTCTCTGAAAAGACAGTGTTTACAGCAAAAAGGCTGAAGGTAATGATTCTACTCACCAGAACAAATTCAATAAGCTGTAGTTGTTCTGGTGACTATAGAGTCCCTTTAAAGACCTGTTTCTCCAGAATAAAATGATATATAATAATTGTGGGTGCACTTATTATGAAAGAGGTTAATTACAGTTGAACAGACATATAGCGCAAATTCCGTTTTTTGTTTACATTTTGTTTTGATCAGAACGTGCACAACTGACTCCGTCCTGAAGGGGTTAAAGAATCACTATAGGGTCAGGAACACAAACATATATTCATGACCCTATAGTGAAAACCCACCATCTCCAGAACAGCAATGTTTTACACTACAGGGATGAGATTAAGTGGTCTGGGCGCCTTTAGTGTCCCTTTAAGATTAAAAATCATGATTTAAACAGTGTTACTGATGGTTTAAGTAGCTTGGTTTCAATCATATCCACCCTGATTTCAATCATGAAAAAACACGAAGTTATTCTACTCCAGCTGGACCGCAAATAAGGTTTTGATGCCAGAGATGGACTCCAGTTAAGTTTAGCCCTAACTTTGCTGCTTTTTAAGGGTGGCCTATTAGTAATTAAAACAAATGTAAGGTAACTGACAAGGAGGACAAAATAATAATATTAATCACCAAAAACAGTGCTGCATCACATACAGGAGAGCGACTTAATCATACATATAAAAAAATAAATCAAAATGGTATGTGAGCGCTCCAAAAAATAAAATAACTACTAAGACACTGTACACCAAAGCAGCAGCCGTTGTTGGAGACCAAACTAAATCTAGTAACAACACTGGGTTAATACAACTGAATGAAAATCACTAAGAATATATACAAAATATATAAAACATAATTTATTAAACATAAAAGGAAAATAACATTTGAATCAATATTGTAGCAATAAAAATGTATCACATAAATAAAAATACCAAAAGTCCAGAGCAGATGTCTAAGAAATAAACACAGTGTGGGGCCCCTTACACTGATTAAATAGCCACTGGAACTAGAATGTGCACATATAAAAAGTAATATATCTGCTCTGGACTTTTGGTGTTTTTATTTATGTGATACATTTTATTGCAACAATATTGATTCAAATGTTATTATTTTCCTTTATGTTTAATAAATGATGTTTTATATATTTTGTATATATTCTTAGTGATTTTCATTCACTTGTATTAACCCAGTGTTACTAGATATAGTTTGGTCTCCAACTATGGCTGCTGCTTTGGTGTACAGTGTCTTAGTGGTCATTATTTTATTTTTTGGAGCGCTCACATACCATTTTTATTTACCTATTAGTAATGCTCAATAGGGCATTTTACAATGAAATACAAGATTTTGTAAAGATAGTTGGAGGAAACTTTTAAAAGAACACTATGGCGATAGGAATACATGTTTGTATTCCTAACGTTATAGTTACCTGTATCAATATCCCCCACCGTGCAAAGGGTTGGAAGGGTGAGTTTGACTGACTTTTCAGCCCTCGGTACAATGGTCTCTGCCTCCTTGGCTAAGATTATCATAATCGATGATCTCTGCCATAAAAATGTTTTCCCATATGATGAATTGGGAGGATTGTGCAAATACTCTACAAAATGCTGTGTGGTGCCAATCAGATGGACTCTATGGCTATGTTGACAGAGTGACAACCACTAAAAGGCATTTAAACCCTGCAATGTAAACATTGATTTTCCTGCAAAACACCAATGTTTTCACTTACAGGTTAAACGTAGAGGGACATGGCACCCAGAGTATTTCATTGAGATGAAGTTGTCTGGTGTCTATAGAGTCCTTTTAAGGAAAAGCTAGGACAAAAGATGCAAATGAAGAGGATAAGCAGAAACAGTTTTATTTCCCCTCTCTATGCTGACTGCCAGGTGAAAAGGACAGAGCTAGTAATAATTAAAAGGAAGATAATATGGTGGAGTCCAGTTGCAGGTTAAAAAGGTGTGAATCTCTACGTGTATTTTAATTTTTCACAACCTACAAATACATATTTGTTAAAAGATTGTGCAACACCCTCCAAAGATCTCATAGGAATCTGCTGTGCATCATGAGAAAAGAGTTTTGTTTCATGTGTGACTGACTGCTGCAGGGAAATGGCACATTTGCTAGTGAAAGCAGATTAAAGTATTTTGCCAAAATGTGTCCTTAGCATAGAACAAAGTCTTTGTCTTATGTATTTCATTCAAATGTATTAAAAAAATTCAATGAAACATGGCTTTTTTTTTTTTTTATAAAGGACCACTATAGTGCCAGGAAAACATACTTGTTTTCCTGGCACTATAGTGCCCTGAGGGTGCCCCCACCTTCAGGGACCCCCTCTCGCCGGGCTCTGGGGAGAGGAAGGGGTTAAACTTACCTCTTTCTCCAGCGCCGGGCGGGGAGCTCTCCTCCTCCTTTCCGGCTGAATGCGCATGCACGGCAAGAGCTGCGCGCGCATTAAGCAGTCCATAGGAAAGCATTTACAATGCTTTCCTATGGACGCTGACGTCTTCTCACTGTGAAAATCACAGTGAGAAGCACGCAAGTGCCTCTAGCGGCTGTCAAGAGACAGCCACTAGAGGCTGGATTAACCCTAACATAAACATAGCAGTTTCTCTGAAACTGCTATGTTTATAAAAAAAAAAAAAAGGGTTAACAATAGCTGGACCTGGCACCCAGACCACTTCATTAAGCTGAAATGGTCTGGGTGCCTATAGTGGTCCTTTAAGGTTCAGTGACTTTAAAGGAATACTATAGTTACCAGAACAACTACAGCTTAATGCAGTTATTCTTGCAAGTATAGTCAGTCCCTGCAGGCATTTCCTTGTAAAGACTGTCTTTACGGAGAAGCGTTTACATTGCTGCCTGGGGACACCTCCAGTGGCAGTCACTTCCTGGCATTCAGTGTCTCCACTGAACTTTCCCCGTAGAGATGGACTAATTCAATGCATCTCTACGAGGAGATGCTGATTGGCCAGAACGATGTTTGGCTCCACCTCCCACCCCTTCCTTGGATGACATAATCAGAATATACAATTTCAGCCAATCCAACGCTTTCCTATGGCAGACCCATTAAATAAAATCTATAGGGTCAGAAATACACATTTGTGTTCCTGACCCTATAGTATTCCTTTAAGTGGTCATGGTGCCTGTTCGTGCAGCATTTCACTACCATTTCCAGAGTCACTAGCCAGCCCACAACAAACAAGACAAAGCCATACAATAGTTTATAAAACACCAATATGTTAAATATTTTTTTTTACTGTATTTTGTCATGCCTTTTTTGTTGTGTTTAACTTGATTAAAAAAAATTAGATATATACAAGCGCATATACAATCCATTAAACCCTGTGGATAAGAGCTCTATATAGTAATTGACTAAAGATGGACACACATAAAACCCATCAGCTGTGAAACAATAAGACTATTGTTACAATGCTGTCAGTGATGGCAAACCTTTCATTACTGTGGATCAAATCTACTGCCACCCAAATGGTTACTGAACACTAAATGCAGTCTGTATCAGACAGGATGGCATCAAACCATTGTACAGCGCTACGGAGTCTGATGGCGCTATATAAATAATACAATACACGATTAACTCTCTCTCTCTCTCTCCACACACACACACACTATCTATAGCCAGAGCTCCCCAGTCAGACGCTGTGCTGTGCTGTGAGGGAGGGGATCCCAGCAGGACTGTGACACCATGATTGCTCGGTGTTGTGTTATTGTGTAGCATTGAACGCGATTCCCCTCTCTCCGTGTTGACACCCATATAAAATGGACGTTGTGTGGCTGCCATGACAGGTCGCGGTAACAATGAGTGACAGGCAGCCATACCCGGGCGGCCATCGCACTGATCGCGGAGACACTCACCAGCTCGCTCTCTCTCGCTCTTTCTTCCTCCCCGGTGTTCTCTATGAAGCTTCTCGGAGATTGAGGCCCCGGCGGAACCTTCCGGCGTCACTACGTCATGTGACCAGATGTGAAGTCAGCGCGCGGCGTCCTGGTTCCAGTTCTAAACACCAGAGACAAAAATAGGTTTTCTCAATAACAACAACAAAAAGAATTTGACGTGGTTGCTGTAACAGCGACCATTTTCTTGGAGACCAAGATCAACCGTGCGGATAATAAGAAAACGATCATGACTTTCTTTGTAGCTCTGTTCATATAACTGCGCTGCTATGCAAGAATTGCTCGGGCTGCCAAGGGAACTGAAGACCAACGACCAACAATGCGGCCAAAAATAGCCATGTTTGAGCTTAGCTAATAGTAATGCCCACAGTAAACATGGCTACTCTGGCTGCAGTGAGGTAATGGAGAGACAGTAACAAAGGTTTATTATAAAACACCTAATACATGGTGCTTTACATGCTTCTCGACAAATATGGCCAGACAGTGAGTGAGGGCTAGCTAACATAAAGCTGTTTCTGGTAACTAAAAAATAGTGTATTTTATTCCCTATGGCAGGATCAAGTGGAGTTTGATGGTTTCTACAGAATATTTGTAAACACAATGTAACAACTTCATACCATGCAAAACAGACAGCTTGAAAAGAGAAAGCAAGCTGCCTGCTGCTGTGGCACTTCTTATTTACAAATTTAATTATGGTATCTCATTTCTTATTGAATCTCTTCCAGGACACTCGGCATGTGCTAACAGCCCCCCAATCTATGCTGCATTCTGTACTGTCCCCAAAATTAATCCAGCCCCACCCTTCCTCCCTGAGTTCAGCTCCGGCTTGAACTCAGGTGATTAATTTCCAATCCTCCATTTGTAAGAAGGCAAACTATTCTTCCCAAGTGTCTCTATTTAGGAGGGATAGTCCGTATTTTGGGCCCAAATCCCTCTGTTCCTCTTTTCGATGAGCTCCATATTGTTAGTGTGCAGTGTCAGCCGGTGAAGTTTTAAGGTAGTGGGGAGCCATACTCCTCCCCAAGAATTTTACTCCTCCATATACAGTACAGAGAAGCTCATACAATAAAATACGTTATATGCCATGTTAAAATATCGATAAAATACATATAGCTGAGTACAATATAGCCATACCATATATCGAACTGAGAAATGACAAAGAGATATATATTACACAGATCTGGGCACAATACAAAGATAACTTAATAATACACACAGCGGGGTAGACTACAGAAATACCCATACAATAGATAAAGCTGAATGCAGAGAGGACTATAGGACAGGCAAAGCTGAGTAAAATACAGAGAAAAAACACAGCGCTGGGTACAATAAGGAGATACTCATAACTATCCCACACAGCCAGGATCACTGTGATGGATTACACAGAGCTGCTATAGAGATATCCCCACACTACAGGGTGGCCCATAAGTCCCTACCCATCCAACACACAGACTGGATACATAAGATATATGGATTGGTAGTGTAACCGAGTAAACTTGCAGAAGCAAGTTTAATCCCTCCAAGTTGATCATACCAACTTCCAAACCAACTACTAGGATTATACCCATTCAAGACCTGAGTAGGTACATATGGCTTGTAAGTTCAGCCACTGCCCGCCCTTCATCATTTATGTGCAAACAACAGTTGCTGAGATTAAACATTCTGCATACACCTCCCTCTACTGCTAATAGGTAGTCCAGAGATTATCTATTTTGATAGATGGCTGATCTCATCCAAGTATTTTGCTTAGCTAGAAGATTAAGTGCTTGAGCTGTCTCATTAGTGATAATCTCAACCACCGCCTGTAGTCTTATAATACGGTTGAGCATATATATATTGGGGTTCTATATCCATAGGTACCATCTTCTGCCCAAGTAGCAGGTCCATAATAATTAATAATGCATTGGGGAGGCCACTCATCATCTTCCCAGCTACCTATATTCAAGGATGCTCGCTTCTTTTTATGATTTACATCATAAACTTTAACTCCCAAGGTCTCTCCTGTCTCAGGTGGCAACAAGAAGGATGGTTTGAGCATACCTAATACACATGCCCCTTCCCAATCTTGTGGTAACTCTGAATATGCTTTCTTACCACAGATCCAATATAAATTTGCTGGGGCTTTCCAATTGGATGTAGCAGAAAAGTCAAACCATACCTCTTTTAAATGGGTGTAATTATCAAACGGATTAGTAGGCTCTGAGACATTTGAAGCTGACCCCCAAGTGGTATCTTTAGTATCAGCATTATAGGCTTTCTGTCGTCCTAGACATATTAACTCACCAACCTGGTGTGGTATACAATGGCCCTTTCCTGGCTAAACATACATGACCTATAATAGAGGTTTTTAACCGCCACTCTGATTTACCTCTAGTACTTACTTGATGATCAGACTGAGAAAGTATTTGTTGTTCATCTGTCTCAGAACCAGGGTACCATACTTCCTTTGCCTCCCATGGCCACTGGTCTCCCATATTAGTACCTCCACATACAAAGCAATTAGTTACATTAAGACTACCCGCAATACTCTCAGCCAAATCAATAAATAGGTTCTTAACATTATGGGGAATTTTATCCTCACCACTCATCTCCTCATAGAAGGAATGAAAAACCGGATGAGTTTGAGTTGTTATCGTCTCAGTTTCAAGTCCTACATATATTATGGTCCCTGGATCAACTCCTGTGCCATATATTTGGAACCCAAATAGATTTCCAAACTTATCAATAAAACGTTGTGGATTAGAGATGGTCATATGGACAGGATTACATTCCATAGACTTACAGTGTGGTGTAGTGGGCAACCTTTGGATAATCATATCTTGATTCACTGTTTTTCCCCAGGTCGCCCACCCTACACAAGACCAATATGGACAAAAGTTAAAATCCCTATTTGGGCAATCAGGATCAGTAGATCTTTTACTGGGACATAAATATTTATCATTAAACCCATAAGTTTATTCTCATTTAAGATTACCACATACATTCCCAGGTTTTCCACTACCAGAGATCGCCTTACATGCATCAAATAGTAGAATACCCGTAGAATGTATGGTATTTATCACAGTCCTATTTATCAAGGTCCCCTGCGAGTTACTGTTCCGAATTACCAACCAAATTGTACGAGGTTGGAATTGGGGATCAAAACATTTAGGCTCTCCTGATATTGGTTTGCACACATTGTAATCTTTATCTAAATATCTACACTTAGATACAGATCCCTTACACTCATACTGTGAGTGCCAAATGAGAGTTTGGGATATTTGGTTACCTGTTTTCATAGTCTTAATGCAGCTAACACAACTCGGTATGTCCTCACCTTTACCTTCCTGAAAAATCACAAAAATGCCTAAACACATAATATAACATTATTTCAGAAGTCCTCATTTCTACTCTTCGACCGTGCGACGGCACCTCAGCTTCCCAATTGTGAGGGCTGCAAGGATTGTCGTTCTTCTGATCCTCACTTTTCTTCACAGAGGTCCCTTCGAGACACTCTGGCTATGACACGTAGGTAGGTGGTCAGGCTTTATTATGGCCGTCGAAACACCTACTTGCTGATATCTGTTGTTACTTTCAACTAAGATGTCCCAATATCTCCTCGTATTATTTCTCACTCCGAATGAGTTACCCGCTTTAATCGGATCTTGCAAGGATTTTCAGAATCTGGAATAGCTTGCCAAGAATCTGCCGCTGGTTTAACCCTAGAATGATGAATCACTTCTGCCACCTTTACAGCTGTTGGAGTAGATAAAAGAACAACATAAGGACCCCTCCACTTTGGACCTAATGGAACAATATTCCATTATTTTATCCACACTTGATCTTCCTGTTGATAGGAATAAACAGGTGGATATATGTTCACAGTTAACCTATCTTGCACCCATTTCTGTACTTCCTCCATAGTTTTTACCCAACTCTACAACCTGCTGCCGAGTAATTCCTTCATCCAACTGATTCAAGTCACCCCTTTACTGAGTATTGGAGGTGGACGCCCATACACGATTTCAAAGGGGGACAGACCCATTCTTCTGGTAGGAGTACTACGTATCCGCAACAGAGCTATTGACAAAAGGACATTCCACTTGAGCTGAGTTTCCTGACACATTTTAGCCAATTGGGTTTTTATTGTTCTGTTCATCCTTTCCACCTTTCCAGAACTCTGAGGTCTATGTGCTGTATGAAGTTTCCACTTAATACCAAGCATATGAGTCAATTGTTGTAAACACTGATGGATAAAGGCTGGACCATTGTCTGTTCCGATAGGACACGGAAGTCCATATCTGGGTATAACTTCTCGCAACAGAAATCGTACAACTTCTCCTGCCTTTTCTGTACGAGTTGGACAAGCTTCTACCCAACCTGCGTAGGTACACACAGCTACCAACAAGTAACGATATCCCCCAGTTTAGGCATTACAGTGTAGTCTATTTGCAAATCTGACATTGGGAGTCCTCCCATATATTGAACTCCAGAGGGTTTGACAGGGCCTTGTCCTGCATTGTTTCGAGCACACAAAACACATCTTCGAACAATAGCTTGAGTAAGATTGGATAATCTTGGTATGTAGAAATGTTTCCTGAGAGATTCTTCCATACTATCTCTTCCTGAATGTCTACCATTATGGAAGTTCTGAACAATCTCTATAGCCAGAGATGTCGGAATAACTTTTCTTCCATCTTCTAACTGATACCAATTATTCTCAAAGTATTTCCCAGCTTCATTCTTCAACCACTCCATCTCTTGGGTTGTATATATCGGAGTCCATTGAGACAGAGGTGCCGGCACAAGGGCAGCAATATACCCCACATATTCCTCTTGTCCGGATTCAGCGGCATTGTTTTGCTGCACTATCGGCCATGCGATTTTCTTTTACTACATCACTATCACCTTTCAGATGTGCCCTGCAATGTATAATACCGACTTCCTTCGGTTCCCATACCGCCTCTAACAGTTGAAGTATTTCTACTGCATACTTGATTTCTTTCCCTTCTGAATTCAACAATCCCCTTTCTTTATACAATGCTCCATGGGCATGGGTGGGTAGAAAAGCGTATTTCGAATCTGTGTAAATATTCACTTTCAACCCTTCAGCTAATTGCAAGGCCCTTGTTAATGCAATCAGTTACGCCTTCTGTGCTGATGTCCCTTTCGGCAGTGGCCGTGCTTCAATCACCTTGTCTATGTTTGTTACCGCATACCATGCATAACGTATACCTTCTTTCACATAACTACTACCATCCGTATAATACTGTTTTTCCGGATTCTGGATGGGAAAATTAGGAAGATCAGGCCTGCTTGAAAACACTTCATCCATTATGTACAAACAATCATGTTGACTTTCAGTAGTCTGGGGCAGAAGGGTAGCTGGATTCAAATTATTGACAGTTTCGATGTGTACTCTTGGATTTTCACATAACATAGCTGGATTCGACTGTTGCTAAACCAATGATTTCCTTTGTAATCCAATAGGGTCTGTACTGCATGGGGTACTCGCACATAGAGTTCCTGACCCAATGTGAGCTTGTCAGCTTCTGCTACCAACAGGGCAGTGGTGGGCCACTGCTCGCAGACAACGTGGAAGACCACTGGCCACTGCATCCAACTGTTTGGACATGTAAGCTACAGGTCTTTGCCATGATCCCAAATACTGAGTTAATACTCCCACAGCCATTCGTCTTTGCTCATGTACATACAGATAGAAAGGACGCATGTGATCTGGTAGCCCTAAGGCTGGGGTACTCATAAGTGCTTTCTTAACATCCTCAAATGCCTTCTGTTGTTCAGAGGTCCACAAAAAGGGGTCATATTCTGTGCCTTTCACAGCTTCATATAGAGGTTTCGCCAGTATTGCATAATTAGGAATCCATATCCTACAAAATCCTGCTGCTCCTAAGAATTCTCGCACTTGTCTTCTAGTCTTAGGTATAGATATCCGACACACTGCTTCTTTTCTTATAGGTCCCATTATTCTTTGACCTTCAGAAATATGGAATCCTAAATATTTAACAGTTGACTGGCACAATTGCGCTTTCTTCCTTGATACCTTATATCCTGCTCTCCATAGAATGTGAAGCAATCATAAGTTGCTTGTTGGCATATCTCTTTAGTAACAGCCGCTATCAAAAGATCATCCACGTCCTTGATACCTTGTATCCTGCTCTCCATAGAATGTGAAGCAATCATAAGTTGTTTGTTGGCATATCTCTTTAGTAACAGCCGCTATCAAAAGATCATCCACGTATTGAAGCAATACACATTCTCCTGGGATGGACTTGAAATCTTGCAAATCCTGACTTAATGCAGATCCAAATAGGGTAGGTGAATTCTTGAACCCTTGAGGTAGTCTGGTCCAGTAGTCTGGTCCAGGTCATCTGACGCTTTGAACCTGTAACAGCATCTTCCCATTGGAAAGCAAAGATACACTGACTCTCAGCTGCAATCCGAAGGCAAAAGAAAGCATCCTTAAGGTCTAGAACTGTGAAGTAGGTTGCCCCACCTGGTATCAAAGTAAGCAGATTATAAGGGTTGGGTACAACTGGGTGTATATTAACTACTGCATCATTAACTGCTCTAAAATCTTGTACAGGACGATACTCATCTGATCCTGGTTTCTGAACAGGTAATAATGGAGTGTTCCAGGGGGAAGTACATAATTTTAGGATGCCATACCTTACGAACTTATCCAAGTAGCCTTTTGAGGTATATGATACTGATGTAGGCTCACAGAATAGGCCCCAAGCTTTAGTTCAATATGTATAGGTGGAATATTATGAGCAAGCCCAGGTGGATTATTCTCTGCCCATACTCCTGAAATGTCAAATAAAGGTTCATCACTCTTAGGGTTTACACTTGTCATTATGGAGTAGAAGCGCCATTCTTCTTCCCTTGGCACCAATACCGCCATTATGCCTGGTAATCCACTAAACCTCAGAGACGTTGATCCATTGGGTAGAAAAGTTATCTGAGCTTGAAGCTTCGATAATAGATCTCGTCCTAGAAGTTGAATCGGACACTCTGGCATATATAGGAACTGCTGCTTCACCAAATGGCCTCCCAGAATGCAAGTGCGACTTTTAAGAACCAGTCTAGCTGTGCTTCTCCCAGTAGCTCCTATCACAGTTATAGTTTTTCCTGAAGGCGGAGCCACCAGTTTAGTCACCACGGAATGTTCAGCACCAGTGTCTTCTCTTTCCCCATATTGCTACATCGACCATAGGCTCCGCTCGGCCAAGGGGGATTGAGCCCGGTCGGTATCAATAGTCTTTCATGATAGAGTCAGCCAGACCACAAAATCTCTATCCTCTTTATCTCTTGGTCTCTGAGTAGGTGGATAATTTATATCTACTTGAACACTCCCTCTACGATTCCCTCCGTTCCCTCCAAAACTTCCTCTTCCTCTATAACTACCACTATAACCTCCCCGTACTCTTCTCTCTCCTTGTCTATTATTTTCATAATGCTCTCTTTGTGGACACTCATTCTTCCAATGTCCTTCCTCTCTACAAAACGCACATCGATTCCTACTTAAAGTTCCCTTACTTTCTCGACTCCTTTATTCACCTCCCTTCCCTGTCTTTCTACACTTGTGATAGCTACCGCTTGTGATAGCTACCGCTAGCATATCTGCCTTCTTCCTCATTTTACGTTCTTCCTCCCGCTTTATCTCAGTTTCCCTATTCATATATACTTTATTTGCGATCTCCATTAGCTGTGATATGGACATCCCTACAAATCCCTCTAACTTTTGCAATTTTCTTTTAGTATCACCTTGGGCCTGGCTGACAAATGCTGAGTTAATCATTTGAGAATTCTCAGGGGCCTCTGGATTAAGAGGAGTATACAATCTATATGACTCCAATAATCTTTCATAAAAGGCACTAGGTGACTCATCAACCTTTTGCAACACCTCAACCGTCTTTGACATATTTATTGCCTTCTTCCCTCCTGCCTTCATGCCAGCAATAATGGCTTCCCGATAAGCCCTTAATTGGGGCATGTCAGCACCATTCACATTCCAATTTGGGTCAACATTTGGATAATGGGCTGCAGCCCATACAGCTGGATTGGCCTGATTTTGAGTACGGGCCGTTTCCTCAAGCGCTTTAATAGCCGCTTGATTAATCCGGGTCCTTTCCTCACAATTAAATAAAGTTAATAATAATTGCTGGCAATCGGCCCAGGTGGGATTGTGTGTTTGTACAATAGAGGTAACCAAATCTGTCATGACTTGAGGTTTGTTGGTATACGAAGAGTTATGAGTCTTCCAATTGAATAGATCAGTTGTGGTGAAGGGGACATAGACAAACACTGGATCTGTATTGTATTGTATGATTGTATTTGGCCATTTTCGTCAACGTGTGTTGGGCCCGGTGTAAGTCGGAGGGGTATTTGGTAATGTCAGGGTTGAAGGGTACCAGTCATCTGTCGGATTAATATAGGACTTCAGCAAGGCTGTTTTATAGTTTTAAGTTCCGGTCTAGGGGTAGTAAGGTAAGGAGAATGAGGCGGGTTAATTTTACCGGGCGGAAGTTCAGTCAACAGGATGTTGCGGGCCGGGCTGGGAGGAGCCTGACCAAGAACCATAAGTGACGTTAATTCCGGATATATAGAACTAGTGGAGGTAGGTACCGGAAGGGGAGGACTCAGGGCAAGTGGGGTGGGCTCTAAACTAGATGAATGAGTGGGCAGGGACCTTAGAGGAGGAGTAAGGGGTGGGGAGGGAAGGGAAGTTCAGACTCAGAGGGCGAGTCTAAAATGGGTGGGGTTGCGGCCCTGATGGACAGGCGAGTCCTGGCCACCAGGAGGCGACATTGCTCCTTGTGGCATACCTTAATCCATTTAGGCAATTCTTCCACAATCTGTTTCCAACAATCAATATATGGAAACTGATCATAGAATTCAGGCCTACTAGATACAACCGCGTGCACACGTTGTACTAGAGTTAGATCAAGACTACCACGTGGAGGCCATGCGGTCACCAAGATAGGCCACTCTCTACTACATAATGTAGTCAAACGCTTTGGGGATAATTTCAACAAATTTTTAACTAACCGACTATATCACATTCTAGTAACCTCATCTTTACAATCAGTGGTTATGGTACGGTTAGCAAGTGGTTAGCAAGTGGTTACAATACAGTTTTAAAGTCACAGATCAGTTAGTAACAGTTATGGTGTTACACATATAACATAAGACAACAGTTTTTAGTAATTTTTACACAACGTCAGTAGTTATAGTACATGTTAATGGTTATAATAGTGTGCGCTATTATACAGTATACACAATTTACACTCCCACTAGACGGCAGAGCTCAAGCTTTCTAGAAAGACAATTCACCAATTCACCAACTACAGCATATTTAACAACATTTACAATAATCCCAACTATTCTAATTGGCCAGCACCTCGAGAACTATCAAACTATTTACACCAGAATTCGGTTAGTCTACACTGCCCAAGCACCACATATAGCGAACTAGTGGGCAGAATTTACAAAAGTACCCCTTTAGTCTATCTACTCTATCAATAGTCTAGTGGCTGAATTTACAACAGGGCACACTTAGCCAAGATAGGTTGAGAACTAGCAGACGGAATGTACACCAGAATCTGCTTAGTCTCGCCGGCCTCCCTGACCTAGTGACCGAAATTTACACCTAGACACGCTAGTCAGGACACCGGTGTCCGGCATAAACTATTTACACCAAGATTTAGCCTGACCCAAACCACCTATATTAGATGGGCTGACTACAGAGCATCTAATTTCCAGATAAGCGGTGCACCTTCGCTTCTTCCCTCCAGAGGGAGGGAGCAATCCAATAACTGGTTCCAAATATAAAACCCCTTGTGGGCCTACCTCTCTAATGGTATCAGTCTTACCTCTTCGTTCCTGAACCTGGGCTCACACTCATCGACGGGGCACCCCGGTACTTACTACGTAAAGGCCGATGATCTCCTGGGCGAAGCAGCCCAGTGGCGCCGAGATGAAGGGATGTCCACGCTGATGTTCAGGGGTGCTGCCGTAGAGAACGTTGGTAAAAAGTTTACCGTCTCAAATCTCTGCGCCAGCTTCCGTGTGATGAGGTTCCCGGACCCAATGCACCAAAGATGTATCCGAGTAAACTTGCAGAAGCCAGACACAGAGATGGATGCAGGTTTTCTATAGTTTTTATAGAACTATAACTCCTCCCATTAATAGCTCCACCCGCACATACCCTTAACCAATCAGTGGACAGGATTTGGATTTCCTTATATGTGCAGACCACATGGCTCATCCGAAACAAAGGAGAAAGGAGTGTGATTTCAGTTCCTGCATTCCTGCACATGCTCAGTACATTGATGACAGTATCTTAGCTACGTGTAATTAACTAACTGATACAACATACACATATGCCACGTGGAAAGCTCGGCCTACTAAATTTACATTTCACCGAAATTCCATCACAGTAGGGACTTATGGGCCATATAGTACATGTCTCTGTATAATGCTTCAGCTCTCTCTATCTTTGTAGCCCTATCTTGGCTCTCCCTAATTTCTCGTGCAGAGAGAACTTGCTGGCATTTCGGATCTGGACTGCCCGTATGGGTGGGACCAGTCTGATATTCTTCAGATATGTTCTCTCTGTAATGGCACAAGATGAGCTAAAACCAGCTTGAGTTCTGAGCAGGGACCCACCGAAGGCTATTTCAGCTGCTGTCCGTTCTCAGAATACTCTTGCGACCTGTTTTTTTGCTCTCCATAGTAAAAATCTTACTGTATTCAAGCCTGAAGCTGTAACTCTGCATGCTGTTAGACTCAGAAAAACAAGCAGTCTGCTGACCTCATCAGAAGTGGTAGCCTGATCCAATCACAATGCTAGGAGAATCCGTAAACTGTTTGACATCATCGCAGAAACTCTGTTGGCTGCTCCTGAACATCGTCAGGTGCCCATCAGTAATACACTACTTGGACGATTCTTATTGATTGAAACAGGCTCTCACACACCTAGAAGCATCCTCAGCACCACAGCCCTCTTTACATCCCTGGGTGTACCCCTGTCCCCTGACAAAACACTGGACCCCACTACCAAACTGGTTTTCCTGGGTATATCCCTTGACACAGTACCCTTTCAAGCAAGTCTCCCCCAACAGAAATTGGTCTGCATCAGAGAGGATTTCCTATGAAATTATACCTGCACGCGAAAAGGTCTCCAATCCTTATTGAGATCCCTAAACTTCGCCATGCGGATCATCCCACAGGGCAGATCATTCAACTCCAGGCTACTGTGTCTCTTACATGGGATACCAGACAAGGGTACTATCACTATCAACCCACCAGCCAGGGCAGACTTGCTCATGTGGAAGAATTTCATCTTAGAATGGAATGGAGTCTCCATGTTTATTCCCCCACTATCTGAACAATTCCTAGTAATTTGGATGGACGCAGCAGCCTATCCCGGGTTCGCTGCAATATTTGGCAACTATTGGTTTAGGGACAACTGGCCCATGGAGACAGCTGCCTTGCCGGCCTTTAGAGAAACCTTGGCCTTATTCGAAATCTACCCGGTCATGGCAGCAGCCCACACCTGGGGCCATCTCTGGACCGGCAAGGCAGTCGAATATTACACAGACAACTTGGCAGCGTGCGAGATAATCAACAAAAGACGTTCCTCCTCATGAGCAATCATGAGGTTGGTACACAAGTTGTCCTGGCTTGCTGCCAAATCACAATTCTACCTAGTCTGCCAATACATCCCGGGAAAATCTAACACAGCAGCTGACGCTCTTTCCTTGATCTCGTTTTTAGGTATTCTTCCAGGTACACCCCTCTGCCAACAACCAACAATCCAGGATACCGACATTCCACAAATTAATTATGGACTAACTGAACTGCTACAACATGCCCAATCACTCACGCACAGCGCACTCTCAGCTAACACCAAGACCACTTACTGACCATTTTCCAAAAATTTGCAGCGGAATTTAAAGTACAAGGTAATTTTTCCATAGAGCCAATGGTGGCTTTTGCCTTCTTCTGCCACTTACATCTCAAATGATCACACAACACCATCAAACTATATCTCACAGGCGTACAACATCACATTTTCACCACTTTTCCCAATCACCAGCCTTTTCTAGCCTCTATATGCTCAAAGGTATCAACAAAACAGTTCACCCCCATACAACCAGTAGACTACGTATAGATGGACCTATTTTCTGGAAACTAAGCGACCTATTAGACACCAGCCCCTTTGATTCACAGACTAATTCAGCCATTAAAGTAGCTATATTCATCCCCTTCTACGGCTTCCTTAGACCTAGAGAGCTTACCGTCATATGCCATTCAGATGCCAATACTAGCTTAAAAAATTCTAACCTGGTAAAAAACCATGACCATTACATCCTTTCACTGCAAACCTCAAAAACTAATCAAACCAACCAGCCCATCACAATCCCCCTCTTTCCTACAGGAAACTACTGGTGCCCAGTTAAAATACTAGACACTTTTCTAAGCATTTGACACAGTCACCCACCTAACTCTCCACTACTACTACTCCACGATCAACCTCTCACCACATCCAGGTTCGTTTTTTACATCAGAACTCTGCTGTTAAGATTAGGCTACAACCCCTCTTTCTTTTCCGGACACTCCTTCAGAATATGAGCAGCCTCGTCTGCATCCAGCTCTAACACGCCAGTCCACATCATCAAAAGACTGGGCCGATGGAAGTCATCCATATATAATACCTATATTCCACGACCAGAGCAAGAGCTAAGGAAGGCATTTAAATGTTTAGCCTTATAAGAGGCAATAAAGTGTTTGTTTTTTTTGCATCATTCTTTTGCCCTCTTTTATTACAGGCCTACTCGTTTGTTGGTTTCGGCACATCTCAACTAACTCTACACCACCTACCACATTCCCAAATCGATTAAATTCCAAACACAAGTAGGAAGGCCATTAGGCTTGAATTTGTGGGAGGAGTTATTTGCATATTTAAATGCAAGGCTATTACTCATCTATGCCGATCTGGCTAGTTAACCCCACCCACCACACCCCTTACACATTAATATTACCAGGGCCAGCCTTAGGCCTTAAGGCACCCTGTGTGAAAAATCTTTACATCGCCCCCCCCATGTCATTCATGTATAGTGTGTATAGGAATGTAGTGATGGTATAGGGGATTTATTAAATTAATAATGATTTAAAAACAAATATTCATTCCTACTTTTCTGTTGTTACCTGGTTGGGAGAGGGGCATGCTGATCTGAATCTCCTCTGTCCCCCATTGTAAGTGTGTGTGTGTGTGTAAGAATGTATGTCTCACAAGCTCAGGGACTTGCAGTGTCCTGTGGTAATCTGTGGTAGCGCTCTGATTATCCCGGGATAGGAAGCTTC